TAGTCGGCGCAGTAGTTTTTGGCCGGTGGAATTTTCAAGGGTAAGGCTAGGAGCGAGTCTCTTTTGCGATAGTATAATGCTGACTGCACCGAGGAGCTTAACGGACTGAGCGCCCAAACAAAAGAAATACGCCGAAAATGTTACGAAGATTCGGCAGGCCATTCACGAAGATCGACGTCGTACCATCAACGACTTGTGCGACATTGTTGGGATAGGCTATGGGACCTGTCAGCTGATTCTAAAGGAAGAACTCCAACTGCGACGCATCCTGTCTGAGGACCAGAAGCAGAATCGACCCCAACTTCCTTTCTAAGCTCCGTGTGACTTCCTCCTCTTCCCAAAGATGAAAATTCAGCTAAAGGGAAGGAGATTTGAGACGATAGAAGAGATTCAGGCAGAATCGCAGATGGTGCTTGACAGGCTGACAAAGAAAGATTTCCAGGGATGCTGCCAGGCTTGGCAGCGGCGCTGGGATCGTTGTGTTCACTCCCAGGGGAACTACTTCGAGGGTGATGAATGAATTTAATACCTGAGATAAGTGTACGGGTTTTTATACGCGCAGTCTTGAAACTTTCCGATCGCACCTCGTATGTGTTAATGCTGGTACCTAAGTACATCCAAAAGCTTCTTGAATAAAACGCATGTTGACCAGGAATTATAATCAGGTAATCGTAGTTTTAAATCCTCGTATCTCACAGCATTCTCTCTCACTAATTAACTAGCGAAGGAATTGGATGTGGGCTAGACGACTTGAGTAGAGTAGAAAATCGAAGCGAAGTGGAGAGAGAACAATACTTGCCCCCACGAAGAATCGAACTGACCTGGTCGTCAAGTTTATGCAGCACGTGTGGCTGCTCCAGACACGTGATGTATGCGTCCCACCTCTGAACTACGTGAAACATGTGGCAATAAATACTGAACTGTTTCACAAACCCAGACTGCTAATGAAACAAACATCACAACGAACCGGGACAAATAGATGTTGACGAATTACTTCTGTTCATTATAATAATTCCTCCCACTCCCCACCTGTGTTTATATATCATCTTCCACCGAGTCTAATCCAACCGGCAATGATCATACGACGGCCAACTACTGAGTCAAGGGTGAACGGGCATCAGATTATTAATAATTTTACATACTTGGCATTCTATTGTTAATGCATGATAAATGGTTCCTCTGACTAGGGTAAGTAGTAAGTCAGGAACAAGGGAAGTCGTAAGGGTAGACGTATCCGAAAGACAATTTAACTAGCGGCAGGGAATTGTTGAATATCGGCTACTGTTAACTGAGATAGTTGGGCGTCAATAAATGAGACGAGGACGAGTGGTCATTCGGAAACAGGCGCATCACTTTAAAAAGCATTTTCAGCCGAAATTCACATCTCTGCCCGAGTAGCGCCAATGTTATGAGGCTACTTGCCGAGGAAAAGGAACACGGAGAATCTGTAACTGCTGCCACTCGGTACGATATCCTGGCGGGAAGTATGGACCCCCCGCATGTCTGTTAACCTACAGGATCACACCCTAATCAGTCACCTTTACAACGCGACCCACACTCCCAGCAAGATTTATTCATCAACTTAAGGGTAAACTGTGGCCAAGGGATGAAAATAACAACAGATTTACAGTACAAGGCTCGCTCTAAATTCATTATATCCTCTAATCGATAGTATAAATCATGTGTCCTGCTTGCCCGGTGTTAGCTACGGTGCAATACACGAATATAATGCATACAGCGATCAATTCGGTAAATGTAAGCTACAACACTTATCATCATGGTACGCCAGGGCGGTAAGTTATATGTAATTCTTACAACGCAAACGCGATGAAAAAACATGGAACAATTTCGTTAAACGATTAAAAGGATAAAGCGATGTCAAATTAATATAAATACACGGTCTTGTGGGATGCTGCATATTATAGAAACTGACGGACGTTTCAGAGGCGATTAATGACTGATGACAGGTTGTAAGGTCCTCTGAAACGTCGGTCAATATCTACCAGACTATATGGCGTGACAGCCCTTAACCTTTAAAAGCCCAGTGGTAATTATATTGACCGCCTGATTTAATAATCTTCAAGTCTGTATTTTGCCCGCAATGTATTACCGGGTTTCGCACGATTCTCAATTAACAGCAACAATTTCTCCGGTGTCATAAGAATTTATTTTTATGCAAACAACGGAAGCCCAAAACCCCTTGTCAGTTGTCCGCGACTGCTTATTCATTGTATTCGCAGCTGTCCTCCATACCTGGTGGTCGTCTGTGCATCTGCTATCAGAGGTCGCACTTAAGACGGGATTATTTTTCGTAACTTTAAGAAAAGCTCACTTCATGCATCTAACACTCACAAAACACAGCAAATGTCGATCATGCTTGATTGGACGGGTGCGCCGCCCGTGCGATGCGGGAAAATTTTGAACTAGCTCTGACGGGTGTTGACTCTGGTAGCAAGAAACGCAAAAGCTGCTGTGGTGCCTATGGTGGGGTCTGCATTTTTTTCGGGAGTCAGGAGGTTGGTTTTGTGTTGTTGCATTTGGCCGTAATCTTGACTTCAGCCGCCGTTAAAATGTTTTCACTTTTAATTCAGTCACGTACAAATTTTTACGAATTTTGCAATTTCAATACGATTTGCAAAGATAATGGTGCAATGAACTGTTCTACTGCTCAACACAAAAAAAATAGTCCATTCCCGTCGACTATGACGGGTCATACGACGCTAGTAAAGCAAATTTAAAGTTTCTCAGTTTTTGAACTCGGACCTGAAACTGCTGAACTCCATCCACCCTCTGCACATTCCCACAGACAGGCAGAGGAGTGAGTAATCGAAGAGCAGGACCATCGGTGACGTAGCCATCACTCATAACCGGAGGGTCGGTCGACCTGGCTGTGATCTCCGCCCGTCCTCACGACCGACCAGCCAGCTTTCCCGCTCGCTCTTTTAAAAGCCGCGTCGTTTTTATTTGCATGCTAATGAGAGAATTAATGAGTCTAATGGTCTATAAACCCCGTGAAGTACTCGATAGCACAACACGATGACGCTAACAGATCGATTTAAAATCAGATCCAACTTCCTCGCCTTCGTTTTGTTGTTCTCACGGTAACTTTTTTTATCACAGCACTTGTTTTATTAATGCTTTACTATGGGAACAACAGACGAATGCATTTTTTCACACAGGACGCTTACGTTGCAAAAATACGACGACGTTAAAATATTGGGCTTATGTGTCTACCGGTACGAAGAAAAGAGAAGAAACTAGAAGCGTAGCCTCTTCAAATGGAACATTAACTGACGCATGCGCACTATACCTGAAGAAACAATACCCTCTGACATGAAAAAGACCGTTGTATCAGCAGACGTCCATCCAGCCAGAGACATCACAACAAAAATTACCAGTTTTAATGGACGTTACGTGGCACTTGGCAGCAACACTGGGAGTTCAACGCGCAAACTAAGCTCCGGAGCCGGAATAATACAAGCGGACAATTTATCTTTCGACCGGCCGTGAGCGATACGAGTCCACTTTTACGTGGTACGTCGTCTCTTAGTGGGCCAACCGAACACATTTCATTACCGTTTGGTTTTAATGCTGACGATGACTAAAAAAAAATTCTTGGGCAACATAACTCGATTATTTAATTCGGCAAATTCGTGTTCCCAAACACGGTTGGCACGCGGCCAATGGCGGGTTCGAAATCACTTTCGGGCACGCATGTACGTAGAAACCTTGAAATGGACTATTCGCCCACCCAAGCAATGGCGTTAGAGTCGCTCCCAGCGCAGATGCCACTTTGATATTACCGATTGCAGGAATTTAAAAAGTACGATGCCGGAATGTCTCCAATGGCGTGGAGTTCGTACGAAGTTGAAAGGTGTGACACGCACAGATAGCACTGTGTGGTCTCATAATTCTACTCGTTTGCCTAGAAACACGGGATGTACGCCACAGAAGACAACTAGACAGACGGCCACCACCTAGTCCACTCCGTTACTTCATTCTAACTCATTTCGCCATCTCTTCCTCCAGCGTTCTTTAAGGCGTGTCGGCTTTTTATCGAACCGCTTCTTCACGTCCATCCCGTGTCGTCTTACGTATTATTACATGACGCCCAAGTCGCCTTGGATTACAATCTCACTTTCCTTTCATTCCTATTTCCCGTTCATTATAAATATGTTCACAACAGAATGGACATATAAATCCTACGAGTTTATTTCATTAGTTTTAGATACTGCATTGCAACAGTCTTTAAGTTACCTGTTCATTAAAGATCAATTCAACATAAACGTTCCCCAGAAGACGCACGATGTAACACGTCACACCGGTTCTCCAACATCTGCTGGAAGGGTTTATAACGTGTTAAGCTTCGTCTTAGAAATAATTACCCTTCGCCTTCTATGATCTCCATTAGTCAGAGGTCGGCTTAATATTCGATAGACTACCTGCAATGTTGGGAACTTTGTAATACGCTCGCCTGTCTTCGTTCCACCGGTCGGATTCTGTGGCGACCCAAGTCAGGGGCCGTCAGCTCCCTCAGCGCAGTGTCGGAACCAAATCCAACAGGGTTCAACGTTGATCTCCAAAGCTACGTCGTCATTATCGACGATCGCTTCCAAAACCACCATAACCTTCCTCTTACTGGACGCGACATCGCTACTAACCAAATCAATGCAGCAGTTCTTGAAAATCTTACGGTTTCTCAGCTGGTCACAGTAACACACTACTTATCCACTTCAATATTATCCCCCAATTTACGCATTGGTTACCAAGTAGTCGCTTTCCACCAGGTTTTCCAACCAAATCGTTGGGAAATGTCTTTACCTGCCAATGCGTGCTACTCGACTTGAGGACCCTAATAATATTTGGAAAAGTAAATGGTAAAACTCTGAGCTTAATTAAATAAAAACAGAACAAAACATTCTTAAATCAACTTTTAGTCTGAATACAGCCTTCAAAGTCTAGTTTCTATCCCTGGACACAGGTAAGTTGCAGTTTCCTACCTGTTGACAGCAGCCGGGCGATTTAGACCAGAGTTCGATCCTGGGACGGTGGGGTGAAGAACTGATCGAGCCTCGACGCACACTGCAGTGCGCACGATGAGATCACGACAGGCGTGCTGCAGACCTCGCAGGTCAATTTCGGTCTGTTCGATGCGCTGCAACGAGGAAAGTGCCACTTCTGAATACAAACCACGGAATTGCTATACTGGTTGCATCATTCCACGCTTTCGATGTCGTAAAACCTTAAATCTCAAAATTAAAATAGTTTCGCTACCAAATTCACACCAGGTGGTGCAACTGCTTGTAAATCTGCATTAGCACGGAAACTGTTCAGAAAACATCGCACGAACCTTGGCCATATTGACTAGAGCTTCACTGCCGGGCGCAAGCACAGCCTCCAGATTGCGCGCCAGTCGCCTGAGAGCTGCAAGGCGGCGCTCCCTTTCACTGAGTTCCTGCTCTGACCCAGAATCCGAGATCCCGCTGTCAGAGAGGGAGCCCTCGGTACTCTGAGGAGACGTGGTGATGGACACAAGTGTCGTGGTGCTAGCGTCTGCCAGAATCATGGGAACCTGCATCAACAAGAGAACAGCGTCTTTACGTTCGGCCACTGCAGTCCTGTTTTCAAAACCTTTAATGGGAATTCACTGGTACTGGGATACTGGGAACGACCCGTTCTTCAAGTGCCTGAGCACTGCGGGGTCCCAACTTTTCGTTGGCTTCATCTATAAACATTCTGTAGGACTCCTTAGACGAGGTTAATGGGAATTCACTCTAATCCTAAGCATCAATTTCCTGGCCACTTGACTGTAAGGCATTCTCAATTTTCTGTTGCTATGGAACTCGAAGATGCACTGCTGCCATCGAACAATTCCGCCATTGAACTATACTGTGCGCCAGTTAAAACAAATTTCCCTCATAATTTATATCTCCAACACCTATTTCAAAATTATCCTTACACGAGTTGCTCACTCTCTCAAGTGGCCCACTTTATAAGAAAATGTCAGATCGTATATTTATAAGCATCTATTATTCCCCTCAGTTGCGTTAAATGGCAGACTAATTCGGCGGCCTTAATTATGCAATTTTATCCGTCTTCCTGTTACTTCCACGACCGGAAAGGTCAACCATTACATTTTATATAAAAACACTGGACGAACACGACACAGGACGATGTACTGTGTCAAGAATGCCAGAAATCTTGTATATCTCATCGGAAGAATCCCAACGCTTTTCAAGACAACCGCAAATTATAACAGCGCCGCCGTTTTAAGATCTGCGAGTAACGTAGCAAGCCCCAGCTCTGACGTTTGTACGGACCGTTGTCAGCTTTTCAATCGCTGAACTCCACACTTGAAGACAGGCAATCAGATGACTGTCGGCCAACGCCGTTTATGAGGCCGAGAAAACTGGGCGCTGATTCCAGAGTTAATCAAATCGAGACGCGACCAAACTTGTAGGCTAAATTAATGTAGAAATGCTCTGCAGCAGAACACTTCCTTACTATTTAACGCGTTATTTGTTCATCCCTTCACATTACGCCGAAGCAGCGTCGTAAAACAACACTGGTAATATCGTTAAATAAAGGCTTGTGTACATGTACATCTGAGAGGCCGTCCCTTTTGTGCGCTACCTTACCTCTCTGAACCACTAGTAAGCAAATAGCTTCACGAGGGGGGGAAATCACCTGCTGTTCATAACGATTTTCTGTCAGGTGACTGGAAGAGAGAACTACTTACCGACGCACTTACTGAATGGTCACGTCCTGTAATGGAGTCTGGTATATTACACAAACAGAGCTATTGTGATTGAAAAGTAAAGCTAGGGAGTTTATTAATTTACGAGTGACTTTCAGGGAAATACAAGAACAGGTTCCTTCCTAGGTTGGAAGGTGCACTAAATGCACCACGCGGCTTTGGCCTCAAGGCCTAAGTTTCCTTCCGGACAAGAAAGACATACAGTAAAACCCCTGTAGTTGGACACCCCTATATCCTGGACACCCCTCTATATTGGACACTTTTAATTGGAACCGGCGAATATCCTATAATTTTACATGTCCACAACACCCTATAACTTGGACACCCCTTTATCCTGGAACTTGAACACCCCTTTTGTTGTAAGTTGGACAGGTTCATGCACTTAGCTTCAATGCTTTTATGGGAAACTACTGTATTTATTTTCGATCTCATGACAACACGACAGGACACGAGATATTTATTGTGTGTGGTGGGAGATTATAAACGTGCCTACGACAGAATACGTCTTGCGTTCCAAGTTACCAAAAAGGCGGCAGTGCCAACATTTCAAGTTACAAAACAACCGGAAACTAGTTTTCGTACAACCAGTTCTCACCAGTGGCAAGGGCGACATACAATAGCCTTGGAAGTATTTCGTAAACAGGAGGAACAGGACCAGTCTGCGTCGGTAAGCAATAACCCGGAAGATGTCATCTTCAGTCACCCTTCCTTTTTCAAGCGGCCCGTAGTAGATGCTGGGTTTGACAAACCTGTACGTTTTCATAACACACAGGATGACGATAGAAACCACGTTGATGGAACAATGTTTTTGAGAAGCTCGTATCAAGCTAGTCGATACATTTCACGCTTTTATGAAACCCAAGGTTCATTACAATCTCCAAAATGATGATAACTAACGCATGGACGAAATCATTTTTAAGATTTTTTTGTACGATCTGCTAGTCAAAAGTTCATTACCAAGCCCGCAATAACAAAACAACAACAGTAGAGACAACAGCGCCAACGACAGTGCTTGCAACTGAAACCCACGAACTTCTCTCGCACCCAGTGATGTCCCAACAGAGTTGAATAGTCTCTCACCTCCGAGAATCCGTTTCGCTGTTATGCTTGTGGTGTGGGAATTGGGTTAAGGGGAGATAGTCTTAGTAAACCTCGCTCCTGGCAGGCAATTCGATCGTTAATCGTAACGAGAATCAAGTTCGCAGATCACGTAGCGCAGATGGGCCTTGGAATCAGCGTAAAAATACAAATTTAATGTCCTGGCAGGGAGGAAATATCCCACAACATGGGAAACAGGACGAGAGGCAGACGGTTGGGTAGCTTGCTTATATATATGAAGTTTGCAGTGCGCACGAATGCAGACCTGTGGCGAATAGTTTTCTTTCACTTGGTGATGTTCAGAAGCCAGAATGGGCGGAAATAGAACAGACCAGTGCACTGACCTGTCTTTTGATTATCTACCCAATTCTACAATTTACTAACCGTAGCTTTTTCGTTTTCTATGATCGGTTCAATTGCTGAATTCAGAAGGGGTTATTTCCTGACATAACAGAGCCCGCCATAGTACACATTCTTGGTCAAGTTTTATGTCACAACAAATTTTGTTAGGATCCTGCTTAATAGTATCATATCGTTTACTACTTATCTTGCAACTGGCTGACTTCCAAGATGTCTGCCTTCATTGTCTCCCCTACTCCATGGCCTTCGGGATTTCACTCTCTTGACAATACTACGTGTCATGTATTAATTACGAAGTACGATCTCAGCGTACTTACAGCAACCTTATTAGATCTGAACGTTATCTTCAGTATTCTGCAACGTTTTCAGACGCTTGTATAGTTCTAATGTACGTTTTTCCCACCACGTAACGTACCTCATTTCAAAACCTTGCAAAAAAAATGCAAGTTTAAATGATAATCACGATTAATAATGATTAATGGAGTGTCTATAAACGTTAGCTAAGTTGCATTTAACATGTTACGTGGTAGTTTGTTGAAAATTGAACTGAGAAGTAGCAACGTTAACCTCGAAACGTCACAGAGGGAAGCGAGGACGCACTGCTATGGTTACGGTAGGACTACTTTGTATGCGGATGCATGCTTTTCATTACTGACGGGCGACTCGTAGCCCATCCTGGTGCCGCAGCCTGAATCCTGTAGGACACACTTCATATCCCACACCCCTCCCATCCCTCACGAAGTTAAGGAGGATAGATCTTCAGCGCTTTTCTTGGAAAAGTTTCCCGTTTTCATCCTACACTCCTGTACATTATGAGAAAATCTACAAGTCAGTAATAGGATTTTGTGTTTCTTTGTGTAACACACGATTCACCTGTCCTGTTAAGAACAAACTGGATAATGAATGTCGATTTTAAACTATGTTCTTGTTTTTTAGGTCTTTACGCCTGGAGTTCAGTGTAAATTATCGGTGATGAGCAGCGTCGTATTTTATATTCATCCTGAAGATGGTAACTGTGATGTTTGCCGAAACGTTGGATAACTTAAGAAAAATGGATCAGGGGTCTTGACATTGGCCAAAATATATCGAAATTTGGGCGCTTACATTCGTCAGTCTGTAATACGTTATCTATAATCCACACGAAACACGTAAAGTTTTCAGATCATTAAATATAAACGACGCGACCATGGTCGAATTGCGATCTGTGACGCGCACGATATTAGAGCGTCTAAACTCATAGATCGTGGGTTCGAATACCACAATAACCGAATTTCGTGGCATGGCTTACTTAAGACAGTGTCTTTCCTACAAGACGAAGACAGCTCATTTTGTTACCACCACGCGAGATTACATCAACACGACCCTGACTTTAACCTCACCGGATGTCACACACAACGCTGATATTCTTATCACATCGTTAAAACGATATAGAAGATACACACGTACCAAGTTTAATGTTTTACAAGACATGAGCTCCGTCTTACGTAAATTGCCAATTTATAAACTACTATTCTATTTGTTCGGTTTCGGAGTTCCTTCGCGCGATTGGTGGGGGCCGGGGGGGTTGTTATATTTCTTACATGCGCCACTGCACAGTGACAGGTGAAAGGAGACGTCCATTGCGCAATCGGAAGAAAGTGGCAAACAAGTAGAAGTTGCAGACAAATTGCCTTGCCTTTAAACGCGATTACTTTATATGCAAATGAAGGACGAAACGGCAACATCCAGAACGGAGTCAACCGTCTCCCTCACTCAATGATTCAGAAACGGCGTGATATCCTATTAAGTTCAGCGCGGTACACCACGCTTCGATGCGGCAGAACTGCGATGTGTTTACGTTAATTATCCCGTATGCAAATAAATGTGCAATTTAGTCCGTGTACAATGGCACTTATTTCGCAGGTAATCCAATTCGAACTACAATTAATTACTTGTGAATGTTATCAATAAAACAAAAATTAGATGAATTTTTGAACAAATAAAAGTTGAAAATGAATTTATCGTAACAGAGATTTACTGTCAATGTGACAGACAAGACTCTCTAATCTATTCAGATTCCGAATTAATCATAAAATCATTAATCTGCAAAAAAAAAAAAAAAAGATTGGGGCTCCTCGGACCAGAGACAGGCACATCGAAAGTAATCTGTACATGAAATCAAAGGACACGAGTACAAACATCCGAGAATTCAAACCCATCGAGGCCAAGACCGTTCATGCCTTAGACAGTCGCTGCGATGGAAATAAACAAATTTTTAAAGAATTAACATCACCATCTACTTTTACCCACCCCTTAAAAACTATTTTTTGATTATATCCTTAAAATAGATGATGAGACGAGATTAGAAATGCATACAAAATTTTGGTAAGAAAATTTTAAGGGAAATAGAACACTTGCAAGATCAAAGTGTAGATGGAAGGATGATATTAAAACAAATAATTACAAAGTAGGGCGTCAGAGTGGGGAATGAGTTTGCCTCTTTCCGGTCAGAAACCAGTGGCGACCTCTTGTGAACAAGGTGATGAACTTTCTGGTTCGTAAATGAACTGGGATTTCGTCACTGGAAGGGATTTCTTCCCTGATGACTATCAAATTTCTGTAAAACTTCGCATTTGTGAAGTATCCCGGACGCCTAGGGGGGACGATTCCATCAGCGCGGTACAGGCCAATAAATCAGAGACCTACGGCATCCTCCTTACATATCTATGAGCCTAATAACGCGAGACCCGAACACACGTCACATATTCTAGTCATCTCTCGCATTCCAGCGACGGGAGATGCCATGCATATGGCATTACACGGGCCTTCCTCCAACCAAGCGTCACAGTCTGCGCACTATTACGACACATTCGGTAAGTCAGACGATTATAAGCCACTTCACACTTCTGCCTCAGTATTACGCTTGAACCCAAAGAATCACCCTCACGGGCATCCCTTTCTGAAGTTCAGGGCATCATAACCCGGTTTCTTCTTTATTCCCTTTATGGGACTGCTGAAAAAAACATTCCAAATTAATTCCGATTTCAAACGGTTTCGGGGGGTGGGGGGTAGATTTTCACAATTTGTTCTATTAACCACATACAATGTATTATGCCGATAATACCAACAGTGACATAGGAGATAAGTACTGTAGACGACGATGGGACGATAATATTAAAATGGACCATAAGAAAGCAATGGATGAACTACATTCGACTACTTCGGGATACAAACCGGTGGTGGGTAGTTTTTTTTAGTAGAACAATAAATTTTGTGTTTCACAGACGGCGAGGAAATTGTTGTTCGAATCAAGGAAAAAAATATCACGCAGATAATGAACTCAGATCGTCTGTAGGTGACAAACCCATTCACTGACCGAGATATCTCGACTCGTATCATATTTCGTTAAGAAATATTTAGCGGTTGAATCATTGTTACACGTGGACAGGCAGACAAAGCCAACTGGCATATTTTTGCAACTTTTCGTACAGAAGGCGTAAAAAATGAGTCAACACATTCAAAATGTAGGCTGGACGAAGTTCAGCGAACACAGACAAATCTTCCATCACACACACACACACGAGAGGCGGACGATTCCCACATAATTTCGTATGTGGAACATAAATGTGAATGACCAGCGAGGTAAAGAAAATGATGAGAGGGATAAAAATTATAATGATGGTGCTCAATGCGTCGTAAACAAGTATGAAGCTAACGCACGAATCGGCCATGACTGAACTCACGACTCCCGCTCCGTGATTCTCAATTATTTCCTCTCAAGAGGCTTTTATCTTGTCAAAGCCGTGTTTCAATCTGACAAGTCTCTCGCCACTGTAGCCTGCCGATCAGTCTGGTGACCGACACACAAAAGGCCTCGCGAACACAATGGACCGCGGTACTTATTCTTTGGTCTCACCCGATACTCTCCGAATGAAAGTTACCCTGAACTAAATTCCTGGCTTTATGAGCCTCCGAGGTACATCTAATCGCAATACGAACTCGCCACCCATCGAGCTGCATTCCACTCACCGAAGTCGCCGATGGGTTCGTCGGTTTGTTTATGGTTTGTCATTTCGGAGGAACACGCAGCTTTCATCTTCGGCTACACCGCTGTCAGAACCTCCGACAATTTAGCGCCGGATGATAGGATGAATAATTAATAATGAATAGGAAATATATGGAAGGAAGCATCATAAGGGCAATGACGTGATCGGCTTCTACCAGACTATATGGCTCTACAACCCCGAAGACGGCCGCGATCCAATATCTTCTAGTCCATCTACCTCACACTTTAGAGGAAGTCAATTTGTGCAGGACGTTCATAAACACTTGTAGAGGAAAAACTCGTAAAGACAGGACAGATACTCAACTAGCCAATGCAAAACGTACAATAAAACCAGCGTTGTTGAAAAGGGGACGACGACACACTGGTAACCGTAGCAAAACTGATACAGCAGAAACGTGCTCAAGACAAGATAATAAGAAACACGAGAATGAAGTATTATAAAATTCTATAAAACTACTAACTTCGCGGAACAGAGAGCTTCTTGACAAGATAATAGTCACTCAGCTAATCAAAAAATTCCCCGTCTTTCACGGAACCCGACGCTTAAGGCCTCAGGTTCCATAATTAATATCGTCTTCGCAACAGCCACCCCACCCCCCACCCCCAGTGGACCGTCTCATCAACCAGACAGTCTAGACCACACAATCACAATCCTCTGACACCCATTTTAATACTATCCCGCATCTACGACCGACTCAGCGCGCTCAATGTACGCTGACTTCAACTTACCTGACATAAGACGTCGTCGCCGTCGCCGTCCTGCTTTTCGGACAGCACCTTCGCAACATCCCTCACAGAAGTGGCGACGTCAGGAGAGACGGTGCCCCCTTGCAACGCCGAGTCCAGCATCAGCAACGTGTTGTGATCAGATCTAAGGGCCTCCTGCAGTTCGCAGAGGTGTACCTCGAACTGCTGCCAAGCCTGAGACACCCTCTGCAGGTCTCCCAGCCGCTGGGACACGCTACACAAGGGACAAAGAATTTCAGAACACCAACAAAAGGACAGCGTCAATCGGTCGTTGCAGACATGCTCTTAAAGCCGCTCACCGGCAGAAATATTTGTGCTACAGCATCACGTTATAAAGGCAGATCAGAAAAAAGAGACGGTCGCGAAAAATTCGTAGTGTCACCCTAACAGTGCAAACGCGCCTACTCCACAAACACTTTACTTTCATCTTCGCCTTCAAAAGTTCGCTTTAAACAAGGATTCCACATCAAAAATTCTGTATGCTATTCTCGTTTCATCCACGTAAGTGCATCTTGCTGCTGTCTTTAACGATGTTGTGGTTTAGGTCTCACAAGACAAATCACTCGAGCCAACAGACAAAATATGAAGGCTAGAAAAATGTTAATTTACCCATCTTTGTTTACAGAATATGCCTCTGTTATTTTTTTTTTAGTTTCATATCATAATAACGCGGCATGCTTAAGTTTAAAAAAGTCTATTTCTAGTTTCGGGCTATTTTTCTGTCGTTCGGGAACTATAACATTGCGCTTATGGGAAATAACGACTCGATTTACGAACTCTCTAAAGGAACGCAACTGTTCTTAACATTACGTCGAACAGCATCAGCACTGATTACTACAGCATCCGATAATGAAGTCTACGGCAACGAAAACACTATAAAGGCGTCTCGTAATGCTAACACAGAATAATGGAAACGCTTAACGGAGTGTGATATTTTAAGTGTTTATTCTTCAGAGTACAATTTGTCTTTTGATCTCCAAGTCATAGAAGCAATTAGTTGTGAAACCTGTGTTCAACGTGCATATACGAGGCAATGTTCATTTGAGAGTAAATAACGAGTATATCCGAGGCGTGACGCGACAATGCTTCTGACCATCTAATCAAAATCACCGACAGTCAGTGCAATTAAGTCATTGGGGTACTTAGAAACTCTCCACGACGTTCTTCCAGCATGCCGTCCCAAGATAAACAAACCACTTGAGTCGGTTCCCGCTCGGGCACTCAGTATGAGAATCGGGGACGTTATTGAGATCCACACCAATAAAAACATTTCCAGGGCTGGCAATCACATGGGCACACACAGAGACAACCACTGCACTATTGTGGGCAGATCAGGTGTCAGACGTTAACAACGTACCTAAGTACCGCGACATCGGAGTTAATCTCAATTAACTCCCGATCGTTGCATTCGAATTCGGGATCTACCGAATTTGAATCTCGGCCCAAATAATTTTTCCCAGTTCCTAACACCAAATGGTAGGCAGAATATCAATATCAATACAGCCTATGGACCGTTATAATCAATTCATCGTTCAAAGAACTATCCCATATGACGCCACGTAACTTAAGCAGCTGACTATTCCAGATGTCAAGTCACCCTGGACACTCTTACAAAAACCCTTTAAAGCCTAGTGGTAAACACTTGTACCATTTTCTCTTTTTTAACATGAACAATTCTGCATTTTACCCACAGATATAATTTCCTTAAAGTCATTAATCAACAGATCTTTATAATAGAGACGCTGTTCCATCTTAAAATTTTACGTCAAACAAGAGACAAGCTCTGGTCACCCCTACCAGTGTTGTGTAGCAATAAGACAGCCAGCACCATCTATACAACCGCGCTCGAGACATCTTCCTGCCCTCAGACACGAGACAGAGGAGCATCTGACCTGTCGGCGATAGCAGTGGAAGAAGCCTCAGCACCAAAAGTCAATATTGACGCAAGTAATGAAGTCTGGTGAACATACGCCATGGCCACTGCCATGCCATGCCAATACCCGCCCCCATTCACTGCCGACGGCATTTCTGCAGCCACCCCCTTCTTATAAACATCCGCACTCGCGACCCCCGGACACCCACTTTCATTATTACGACACTTCTGTCTTTTCTGTTCCCTCACGCTGTTGCGCCATCATGATCGCCATCCTGTGCAAATAATTTATCGCTTGCTTCTCCTCGACATTCCCTACTTCGACGGTCACACAGGAAACATCTCCGTTTGCTGGACATCCTGGAGAGCTAGAGATGAGAGTCGAACGCACACACTGGGAAGGGGAACACATGAAGAGGCGATGCAGTCCTCGTCGTCCGCGACAAGCAAGGTCAAGGGGGAAATGAACAATGAAGAAGTTTGTTAAGGACCTACCAGGTTTTAACTGCATTGCTCAGGATACGGCAGTTAAAACTGTGCGTCTGGAGGAGAGACAAATATCTATGATATCTAAAATCTGTAGAGTCTGTCCTCAGTAAATATGAGGAACATCCTAAAAATGTGCCCTGTAGTATTCATTTTGCAGTCCAAATCGGAGATTGTGCAGGGAAACCTTCAGATGCGTAAAAATATTCCTACAGTCGGAAGATGAAGACGGGGCTTACCTTTGAAACGTTTCGTCCCACACCCGGTAGAGGTCAGCCACGTCGTCTTTAAGCATGGCTGCAGGATGACCACTGTCGGTGAGGAAACGATGGACGGCAACGTTGACTTGCAACAGTTGGGTCTTCCGGTCACGAAGGGCAGTCAGCTCCGTCTGCAACACGTCAACGAAGTACCGCGGCTTACACTTACGAACTTCAGCTCCATCTGTTACAATATTTCACTCCAATTCATTACACCTTCCACCTCAAAAATCAGGAATCGTGGGCACAACACTACGACGCAGCTGGTTTCCCGCTGGCAACTGTCAGCTTTGTTTAAGAATTGTCGCCAAACAACTTTCATTCAAAAGTCGAAGAATTCCGTACTTTTTCTTGGGGGCACACCCAGCTTCATATTCACCCCCATTTATAGTAACCGCATCAAGAATACGTGGCACTATACCTCCGCTCCGCCATACGCTGTCGTGGCAGACCTAATATTCCAAGAGCTAGATATTACTCATCTCTCACCGCCCTGAATATGGAGGCAGTATGCACCTCTAAAACGCCGGTAAACGTCTACCAGACTGCACGGCGTAACATCAAAGAAGACAAGTAACCTTCATTGTGTTTTCACGGCTTTCCTCATTCGCTCCAGGCAAATTTTGGGATAGTGCCTTAAATTAGGCCACGAGCACTTCCTTCCATAAACTTTCTAATTCATAATTAATATTTCTATCACTCAACGCTATACATTCTGAACTGACAGCATCGTTAAATGCACAATACTATCTTGCCGCTGCACTGGAGGACCATCAGGAAAAATAGATGACGTAAGACGCGGAGGAACGTGTTTCCATATGATATGTGTATCCTGGTGACCTGTTATGGGAAAGGAGACCATTTCTAGGCGTATTTCTCCCTACTGGCTGACCGCATCGAAACTCTCTCCGTCCCTCCATGAATGTCTCATGTTTTTACTGCCGAAACGTTTCGTCCGTTCAGTTCCTGCGGGAATTTGCAAGACCACTCTACTCCAAGCCTGAGTACACAAGTTGCATGCAAACAAATGTGCGGGGTTCTCAACCCGAGACTGGCACAATTCTCCAGAACATCCAACACACAGGTACTCTAAGACGATGATTTTAATGTTCTTTGTGGCCAAAAAAGGTGCGCCAAGACTGCTCATCCGCGAACACACTTTTCTCCGAAAACTAACTCAGGCCCCCTGTCAACGAACATGAGAAACCTAATTGTTCTAATAAATTATTTGTATATATTAATCGTAAAGTTGGTAGTTTAATGTAGTCTACTCTCTTGCCTTGAGTAAATTAAACCGAAACAAATAAGTACCATTTATAATGCATTAATACTGTTGTCTTTTGGCTTCGATTCCCGGCAAGGACCGATATTTTTCTATTTTGCATCGTGTCCAGACCGTCTACGGGTCCTCCAAACCTTGTTTAGTGGGAACGGATGATTATTTTCTCATGAACAGAACGGGGTCAGAGCGTGAAGCTAACCACTCACCTGCAAATAGTGTTGAGTATATCTCCACTCCACCGCACGCAGTAGCTCAGACAATTTCTTTTCGGAAGTTAATATTACTGCCGTATGTAATTTTTAAAACCAAGACTAGAACGCAGGCTGCCTTACTGTTCTACAACGTCAATGTCCACCCCTGTCCTGCTGGACTCACGTCCTGACAAGAAGAGCTCGCCCCGGGAGCAACTACGTCCACAACACGCAGCTCCCCGGAGGACCAATTCCAAGGAAGAGACCCACAAACCCGGATAATTTATGTACAAGGACCAGGTTGTCGCATCACTGTCAAGCAACGAGCAATTGCACCCAGCACCCAGATATACGGCCATGTGAAGTATTCGGACAGAACACAGAAGTGAAATTATCCTTCAGTGGCGTACTTACTGCTGGCCCAAAGCCAGGAAACTTCTTTTTCTTCTGACCTTCAGGGATCAGATTCAAGACCGCTTCGGCTTTACACCAACTTTCGAAAGACATCCCGCGCGTCCTTGTACCCTTCAGGTTGTACTCAGTCAGTAATTACCGTGTTCTTTTTCCCGATTGTTCGACCAAAGTTTTCTCTAGTAAGTGATCTTCGATTCACCGAATGAATATTTAGTTCCCGCCGCATACTAGTCTCCATTCCCACATTCTATCAATTTTATCATAGTCGCGCTGACGTCATGATTTAGTTTATTAACCTTCTCCGTCCAAACCGAAGCACTAATTAGTTTCTCCTCTACATTCTACGCATCTATACATTATAAAAGTCTGTGCCTTTTAGTTCGTACAGATGATAATTGTTCCTGCAATCCTAGTGCTTGGCTAGCATTCCTTTTTCGTTCCTCGGTTCGATTCCCCACCCAGAGACTGGTTGATATACTGATTTATTTATCAAATTCTCTAACTCTGCAGTATTAATTTAGGTACGCAAAAACATCAAAGGAAGAATTAGGCATATACGAGTACTCCAATGGAGTGCACACTATTTAATCTCGTCTCTTTTGATATCAAAAATGCTAGCAATATAATGAATACGACTGTGTTTAATCGGGACTTGAAAGGGTAAAACTTCGAAAATCGATAACTGAGAGACGTTTCGAGCTTGAGTAAAGAAAAGAATTTGGCACTATTTCCAGTTTCAACCCCCGGATCTTCTCGATACGAGACTTTTCTAGTGCGAGTGTGTATTATATGGACCACTTGGCACTCGGCACAACTGCAGGCGTGTGTATGCCTCAGCTGAACAATCGCCAGCCATCGAATTCATTTGTATGCAGCCAGTGCAACTTGAAGGCTCCCGCTTCTGAGCACAGACACGCGAATTCCTTTCTAATTCAATTTGCAATCAACAGCCAATCAATTGATTCGAATTCAGTATACAGAGTGGTTTGGAAATCGGGTCCCGCATAGCTTATGAGGAAGGGGGGGGGGAGAGAGAGAGAGAGAGGAATCAGCAGGCAGAATGCCACGCAGAGCGATGAGCTACGAAACGGTTGTACATGCAGTCTAGCTTTAAAGGAGTAGTGGTATCTTGGTGGCTTGCAGTAGATGAATCGCCCTGATGACGGAGACAGTATGACCTCCGAAACGTTGGCAAACATCGACCAGACTACACGGCGCAACAACCCAGAAGACGGAAATCTTCATACAATTAAATACTTTTTCAATCTTTCGTCTTTAAGGCGAAAACCTCGTCCATAAAATATTTCCAGACAGCCCCGTCTTCTACTCATGCGCCAATGGGGCACGGGCTTTTTGTAATGTTTTCAGTCTAGCACGGCGACGAAATTCGTATTGGCTTTTTTTTACTCTCCCTCTCACATAGAATGGAGGGACCCCAACACCTTTCCGTATTCGGGACACGTAACGCGCCCTCACAGGAACCCCCTCCGCCCGCCCACCAGCCAACGCGTGCGACACGACTACCCTTTTACCGGCATTTCTTGCTTCAACACCACGACAACGGAAGAAAAAAAGGGGCTCATTTTAATCAAATTCGCCTCAAGGCTGGAGTCTCAGAAATCAACTAATCTTCAGAGGTCATAAATGAATATGATATTGAGATTCCTGGAGGTTATCTCAAAGGTATGGACACAATTCCCTAGAGCGATGACTGACTCGTATCTTCGAAAACGCGTTCGTAATGCGGACATTCGCATTTATGGGACCACGAAACTACCCCCGAACACCAAATATAAGGCTGCAAAATCCTGTCCTTGATGTGCGATGAACAAAACCCAATTATAAAATGCCACCATTATTTGAAACTGTAAGATATACTGATATAAATTTATTATGTCTGTGACGTAAGTAAGGATTATTTAGCAAGCAGCTGCGTTACCGATGTGCCACAGCTTGAGCCATCTAGCGGTCACCATATGAACTGGATTGGAACAAGTACCGATAGCTCAGCCGACAATATAGGAGTCTATTGACATCGTTCACAAGTCGTGTATTATACGCTAGCGGACGGGCCTACTACTCTGTGTACCTGTGGCGGCACGGTCAGCGTATTTCTTTTGTTTGATAAGCTCCTGGGTGCAGTCAGCATTATACTATCGCATAAATGACTCGCTCCTAGCCTTACCCTTGAAAATTCTGCCGGCCAAAAACTACTGCGCCGACTATAATGCAATAAAGATTTGATGGAAAGCTTAATGCTTCCTCAGCTGCCTAACAGAATGCCACCTTCGTTCTTAAAACCCACATCCACCAATGGGCCTGACCATGAGATGTACTGTAAGGCAAAGTTAATGAGGACAACCACTTCATAACGGCAAGAGAAAACTCAGACCTTCATACCCAATCACATATCCAACCAATTAGTGACCTTATCATTTATACAGTTATAGAAAGTGTCACAGATCTTAAGAAACATTTACTGAACTTTCACCCACTTGCCAATTAAAATAAACCTGTCCTGAATCAAAACAGTTCTCAAAACTACCTACGTACGAAAACAAAACTAACTTGCATTCTGCATGAAAGCAAGTTCACACAACAAACTTATTTAAGTGAAAGATGTGCTTACTTTCACTTGATGAATTCTATTTTCCAACTGGTCCCGATCTTTAAGTTCGGATTCCATAGAAGTCACTCTGGAGGCAAGATCGAGAAGCTCATCACGTAGTGCTGCCATCTCGCGCTGCAAGGCCCGAACTCGCTGTAGATCTTCGGCCCGTGCTTGCAGCATATCCCACCTCTGAACCAAACCTAAAGACAAAAACACGAAAGTACAGAACTGATGCCGATCCTTATATCTGAAACATTTCATGTTTTTCTCGAAACAGCAGGTATTAGCTGACTTTGAGTACATCAGAACATAAAAAGGTTACTGATAATGGAATTGTGATGGATGTTAGAATGAATGTGCCGACAATAAGTAGCATGAAAGAATCCATGGAAAAGTCTTCTTTGACAAACTGACAGTCGCTCAGTTGGTCTTCGTCTCAATCTGCCACTGTCCCTCTTATCCACAAAAAAAAAAAATAAAAAGCGGAATATAACATACATAGCTGCTATCTATAAACAGAAAGCAAATAACTAAAAGTACATTTTCCTCCTCCTAGCCGTATCTTTCGTGAGCGTCACCGTCCAATACGGTGCACCTTGCACCATCGGTCTTCGTGAGGGTCACAAAGGAGACTTGGCAACGATGTGGTAAAAATCAATATCATAACTACACCAAAATATATGTCTTAAAAGACGTTATTATGAAATACCAAAAAAAGCACGAAATATTATGTCTAAATACGAACGTGTCTATGCTGTGTATGAAATTACCTCGTAAATGGAAAGTAATGGCCTTCACAGTTAAATACACTAGATCAAAGGCAATACGTAACACCAACACAGAACAGGAATCACACTTTAATTAACTGCGCTGCGTCGTACAACAATGTCACGGACACAATCAACTGAACTAACAGGAAGTTCAGTCTCCTAGTAACCTGACAATGGTTAGTAATACGACAGAATTCTTGTGAAATTCATTACGTAATACACGAACAAATCTGCAGCACTTCAGAACAAAAAATCTAACCTCTAACAATTACAAATGATATATCCTTGTAAGCAGCGTCACAAAACAAAACGAGCTGATACATCCAACTATTACGACACGACTAAAATTCTCGCAACGAGTCACTCTACTTCGTCTTTGACACGATATAAACTACGCTAGAAGTTTCTAACTCGCTCACAGCTGTTCTATCTAGCCTTCTTACTCGTGCGTTAATTCTGTCCTCGTTCCACAGCGCTGTTTCTTTCTTTCTTTCTTTCTTTACGAACTAACGCACCGCTACACAAACGCCACCAACTTTCAACTCTCCTTTACGCATCTGTGACTTATCACACCCGTGAGGTTAGCCAACTTGGTCTGAGTCATTCGCAACTACGCGGACATTACCTATTTCGTAGCTATGAAGTGGGTAAAAAGCGAGGCGTTTCTTTCTGGAAGGTTGTCCAAACAAGTATTACCACTCTATGAACTTGATTATATGGTAATATACATCTCTGACGTAAAAGGGGGAAAAAACATACAATGGAAATTACACTAATGGCCGTGTGATATGACGTAAACAGTTGGGTTTTAAAGTCTTACGCATTCACAGGTCAATACAAATTACTGGCACTGTATTAAGTACCAAGATTGCTTAGGGAATTCACTACGCTGATTATTTATCTTTATTTCGGTCAATACTGATTTATGCACGTAGCCTAAATACGCTGGTGAATTTACGAAAAATTTTGGTGCAATAACCCATTTAAAGACTTTCATTTGGAAGAAAGAGAATGAGATGGTAGGATACCATTAAGATAGATCTTACGACTGGTTATGACGATGGTAGTTTGCGTAAGAAGCTCAAAATCGTGAGCAATGGTAAAATATAGTTGGATATTAGCAGTGCAGAACATGCGGAATTTTAAATAAATTATTTCAGTACACTTTCTCCCAGTGTAATTCGCTAATTAAAAAAGTTATGAACATGTAACTTGTTGTAGGCTACTTTCTAAAAATTTCTTCTCGACGGCGGAATGTTAAGTAGGCAATTAACAATGGGTGAAATCTTCCACCCAGACATGCAATGTATTGACCTTACGGTTGATGGTAAATAGAGAAAAAGAACATACTAAACACCTAGGCCTCCGCAAGTCGTAAATTGATGTTACCAAATGGTGAAGATATGAAGTTGTTAGTATCGATAACATTAATTGCTAATTATTAATCGCAGTCTCGTGTGGACTCTTTTCTACTACCAACACAAACTTCTCACGGCCGCGAGGCGTAAACTGACTTACTTATTCAGAAATACCTTTCGGGGGATCAAGTTTACAAATCTGCAAGGCCTGTACTGAACAATTATAATTATTATTAATAATAAACTGATTAGATTTAGGACACCTAATTTCAATCTGTGATGAGATATTCTCTTTCGTTTCGTTGTACGTCGTAAAACACGCACGCGTGATGAGATGCTTCTTTAACACGGACCAGAGTCGTTATAGCTAGTGGAGGTGATGGCAGGCAGTCAGTCAGGGGTCTGTACCAACACATCTGCATCTTCTGTACATTATAAACACCACCAGTGGAGGTGAAGTCGTCCTCTAAATTTTACGAAATCATTTCGTTTACCTCCCAGACGCTGAATACAAGAACATACAAAAGATGCAATTGTCATTTGTTTTATAAGGATGTGATACGTGGTCTCTTACAAGTGTTTAAAAACGTGTTCAGGAATATATATGGACCTATCTTTCTGAGAATATAGTCGGCACAGTAGTTTTTGGCCGGTGGAGAATCTAGCGGAGCTGGCGGACGGGCCTACTCTGTGTACCTGAGGTGGCACGGTCAGTGCAATTCTTTTGTTTGGGCGTTCAGTCCTCGGTGCAGTCAGCATTATACTTCGCACAAGTGACTCGCTCCTAGCCTTCCCCTTGAAAATTCCACCGGCCAAAAACTTCTGCGGAGACGAATTTCGTGTTTTAAACAGGTCACCTAGTATTGTTGCAACAATGAACTCTAGATGTATACAACAAGTTGGTCATTTGGACAGGATACGGAGAAGAGTTAACGCCTCAACGTCCACTTTGAAGACCACGTAAATGGAAGGATAAGATGAAATGGGAAGTACAACGTGTCTTTTTTCCCCCTTTCGGGTTCTACCACCAGACAGTACAGTTATGATAATTGTTACAAGACACTGGCTGCAATGACGGGTCAGTCAACTTCTGCGGACAGCACGAGGAAGTCAAAGATGACAGTAACGGTGTTACGCGATGGCAACACGCCGTCCTATACGGATAGGTCGGCTGGCAAGCAGACATCGCCAGAGACAACTCACAAAACAAAAAACACGATAACTGGTTTCTCGGTCAAGGTTCAAAACAATACAATTCCGATCAAAAGCAAACCAATTATCACTCAGCAAACTTGTCCCGTCATTGGCAGTTGAAAGTTACGAAACTTCTAACGTCAGTCTGGATTAGGGGTTCTCAAACCGCGTCCCGTCGATGTATTTTAACACTGTCCGCACGCACTTTTGTAATACTGTCACCCTATGGCAAAATATAGTATACATAAAACACGCTTTGTTGAAGTCATATTCTGCAGTGTCTGCCACTGCGAGCAACAGCTTAATAAAGAACGTCAAATCAATTACTATAACGCGTCTTACTGGCGAACACTTGCAGGGCGAAAGTCTTGAAAACATCGGTAACCCCGGGTCTAGACAATTATACAGCATATTTCTGACATCATCACGGGGTTTCATGGGCAAACTATAACAGGAAAAGTTCTGCCAAGTAAGCAATGTGTAAAAACATCAGCCAATTAGCAGAACACACACGCGCAACTTTCTGATAAAGTCTTTTATCTTACAGGAAACGGAGTAAACTGAGGTTTTTTCAATGTCAGTATCACTGATAGCTACAGGAGTGCTCACTACAGGCAAAACTGTTAGTTAAAGTTGCACTGCATTAACCATATTTTGCGTACTAATGTAACCAGGATTCAAATGTTAATGACATGTTTCAGGTCTAAACCAAAGCGAAAATTCTCGTTTATTATTACCGTTACTTTGAGTTATTTTTTAACTTTTCCGTCGCTATACAGAAGACGCATCTCAAAATTATTCCACATTTCCAAACGAAAACAATGACTTATACGAGTCAAAACAGAAACCTGCTACATTCATCTTGTGAGGACAGAGCAGTTACCGCTCGACTAGCGAATGCAACGAGTGTCCTTGGCCTACCTATTTTCTTGTCATGAATGCCCATGCCTTAATAACTGAATTCACTCACCAGGTGTCTGAACAGCCGCCATTCTAAATATCCTCACACGAAGACTCAGCACTCTCAATCAACAAAATACCGCATTCCGGACTACAAAAAAAAAAGTTTTCTCGGCGGCAATCGCTTCTGCGAGCGAATGAGGCCACTAAAACGGGAATAGCAGGTGTTCATGCACACGTTACGTAACGCGCCCCACGTGACTACTCCACACGGCCCCCACTGCACAGCTGTACTACGGCCCAATGGGTTTCAAATAGTGCCAACATTATTCACGCGATGTCGCCACTAGACAGTCACGTGATGTTTACCCGCCATTTTGAATGGTTATTATACCACGGCAAGTTTCTGAATTTCTTATTTACATTTATAATTTACCTTACGTACATTCTGGTTTGTACTTTGAATCCAATAAAATACGGAGTAGAAAATTCAACACAGTGCACATGACTCAAATTATCAAAACTTCCAGTCAGATTCATTTTATGATACTTCTCCCATCTGTGCCCATGTCTCCAAAATAATCACTTCCCTTCAGTTTCCCCAACTAAAATCTTGTACACATTTCTTATTTCTTGAATGCACAACACATACCGTACCCATCCTAACATCAATTTGTCTGTCTGTCACTAGAGATATCAATGAAAATGTTCTATTGAACATCCTAACACCGAGTTTTAAATATTTTGTCCTATTGCTTACGTCACGCCAAAGATTCAGCCTCTCCTTTAGGGCACTGCTACTACCTGTTCACACATTGAAACTGAAATGGCTTCTCTCATAACAAACACAATCTACTTGGAGGTACTGTCCACATCCAAAAAAAAAAAAAAAAACGTTTTCAGTAAAGCCACGTGTGAGGTTCAGTACTGCACATCACCAGTTTCGAAAAGTCGCAAGGAACATTTAAAACCGTCTATAAATGTTCAACTGACGAACACAAATTACACACATTCTGTTAGGTGGTAGATTCTCTTTGTGTCGACATGTGTTTTCTTGCTCTATAAAAATGCAGCAACAATGATAAAGGAAGAAATAAAGACACCCCATATTAGCCTTTTATGATGAGGAACCATCAGCCCTCGCCAACCTCCAAATTTGGAGAAAAAACCCTCCTGTAGCTTGTTAATGAGTACTCATCAAATATTGTCCCTTCCATCTCCAACCACAGGATGGAATCCCACATTTAATGCAAAAATATTCAGTCCTAATGAGCGAATCATATATCAATAATAACTGACCACAGAAAAACTGACTGAACATAGCCATAAAACCCCAAAGATGTCCCTGGAAATTAAATGGTTCCAATCTGAACATGGTTACCAGTTACTCCGAGGTTTTTCGGGTCCATTGCCTCTTACAACCTATGAAGAAATATATATTTAATGCACGAAACACACAGATCACGACAGTCTAATCGGTAATTCAATAAAGGCAGATACCGAGATAAGTTCACTCACCCCGTATGTCTCTGC